TCTCTCATTGTCAGTCTTCTCCCTACCCTCTGTCCCCACAACAAGTGCATGTGCCCTAAGGCAAAAGCCTTTACAAAAACAAAACAAAACAAAACAACAAAAAAGGAATTCTTTTGCTATTATTGAGCCCTTAGAGTTCACATATTCTGGAGATATTCTGGAGATATGTATATATGTGTGATACATGTACTTATCTGATACCTGATACATATGTGAGAATATTTTCCCTATTCATGAATTGCTTTTCTATTTTCTTGATGGTATCTTTCTTTCTTTTCTTTTTCCTTTTTTTTTTTTTTTTGGAGAGGTTTTTGCTATAGGGACCGTGCACTCGCCAGAAAGACAGAGAGAAATAGAGAGCTAGAAAGCCAGAAATCACCCCCCAGGGGGAATGGCCATGCTGCAATCCCTTCTCCTCCATTCTCCTCTCGGGATCTTGGGCATGCACGCACACGTGCCCAGCATGAGTTTAAGCCATCGGGTCTGGGACTCAAACTGTGGTCGGCTACATAGGAGTTCAGCGACATAGCCATTACGCTAACTGCTCCTTTTTGTTTTTATATATATAGACCACAGATTAGTTTAGATTTAACACTCATCAAACCATGAATTCATAGGGAATAGGTTCCAGTAGCTCAGGCTCCTTTCCATTGGTTCTCACAAAGTGTGCTTCTCTGGGTGGAGCAGGCTGGTGCTTTAGTTGAACCCAGGTACCTTTCTCTTTGGCTTCTTTCTTTTTCTGGTCATTTTCCTTCACACGTTTTAGGAAGCTATCTCTGCTCTTAGACTGTTTAATATGCGCAAAATGCACATTGATTCTCTTGGCAAGAATCTTGCCCTTAACTTGTTTGTTCACAACAATGTGAACAGCATGCCGGGTAACATTGTAGACTCTTCCAGTTTCGCCTTGGTAACATTTGTGGGGCATGCCTTTTTGAACAGTACCCATTCCCTTAATGTCTACAATATCACCTTTCTTGTAGATTCGCGTATATGTTGCCAAAGGAACAACTCCATGTTTTCTAAAAGGCTTAGAGAACGTATATCGGGTGCCTCTCCGCTTTCCCTTTGTGTTCTTCATTTTGGTTAATTACTGGAAGATGGCGGTTCTGGCCAAAAGACTGCTGGTCCCATCTTGATAGTATCTTCTAATGAGAAGTTTTACAATTTTGACACAATACAATGTATCACATTTTTCTTGTACATTCCTTTGTGTGTGTGTATGTGTGTGTGCACTGTATTAGCAATCTTTGTTTACTACAAGGTTGCAAAGATTTTTATCCTATGTACTTTACTAGAAATTTTACAAATTTAGCTTTTACATTTAGGTCTATGATTCATTTTGAGTTAATGTAGTATATGGTATTAGATAAAGGTCAATGTTCTTTTTTTATATGAATATCTAATTATTCTAGGGTCCTTTTTAAAAAAGTTGTTCTTTCTCAAATGAATTATCCTGACCTCTTTGTTAAAAAAAATCAGTAGATCAAATATGTATGTTTCTATATCAAAACAATCTATTCTGTCCCAATCTATATGTCTCCTTTTACCAATGCCATCTTGATTACTCTAACTTTAGAATAAATCTTGAAATCAAGTATTGTAATTTTTCCGATTTCGTTTTTTAAAAATATCTGTTTGTCTATTCTGGTTTGTTTATATTTCCACATTTCCATATGCAATTTAAAAATCATCTTATTCATTTCAACTAAAAAATCCCACTGGGATTTTGATTGGGATGGCATTGACTCTGTAGTTCATGCTGGGGGTATTAACAGCTTATCAAAATGGAATCTTCCAACTGTAAACATGATATATCTCTCATTATTTAGATGTCTTCAGGTTTGGTCAAGTGGTCTTGCACATCTTGCGTTAAATTGATTACTACATATTAATGTAGTAGTGTTTGGCAGTCTGGAATCATGAAATTTTTTAAGGTTTATTTTTATGTATTTCTCCCATGAGAGATGGAAACAGAGAGACAGAGTGAGATCGGCATCCCCACCAGGTCTTCATGCCACGATTTTACCCCACTTCAGCCAGCCAGAATCATGGGCCCATTTGCACATGCCCAGCATACACAGGGAGACCTTAGGTTATGAACCCGGGACCTTCCCAGGTGGCGTCAGCATCATGAGCATTGTGTTACCACTGTGCCACCACTGCTAGTCATGAAACTATATTTTGAAATGTCCAATTTCCAAACATTTAATGGTACCATACAAAAATACATTTGATTAAACAAAAGTCTTCTGCAGTTCTTCTGAATTTGCTTATTAATCCTGTTAGTTGTTTTGTAAATAAGCAACCATATTATCTACAAATAGAGACTCTTTATTTGATTTATTTTTATTATTCTTATTTCTTCCAAATGTTCAGTTGTTATACATCATTTGGCTTGTAAAGGGAATTTACCCAACGTGAAATACTTCTCAGACGAGTCCAGTTGAGAATACTATACATGTTATCATTAAGAGGTAATAAACCATTTCTATGTTCCATAAATGAATAGAGAGCCTTTCATTTCTTCCTTTCTGAACTTCACTTTTTTCTTACTTTATTCAATGGTTAGAGTCTCTGAGACACCATGAACCCAACAACCAGGGTCTTAGCCTCAACTGCCTGTCAGTCTGAACCTTTAAAGTTGACTAGAAGTGGTGAGAGTGGGTATCTATGTCTTGTTCCCGACACTAATGCATTTAATATTTTCCTATTAAGTATGATGTTAATTGAAGATTTTCCACAGAAGCTTTTAAGAGATTAAAGCAATTCCTTCTATTCTTAATTTGTTAGGAATTTTAGTGTGTTTGTTTGTGTTTGATCATTACTGGTTCTTTTTTGCCAAGTGCCTTTTTACCTATTGAAAAATTATTTTTTTTCTCTTTTGTTCTCCTAATGTGGTGAATTACACTGATTTAAAAAAATACACATATTATTTTATTTTATTTGTTATTATTATTTTAAAGATTACTATAGGGTACGTGTGCTCACAAGAGAGAGACAGAGAGAGAAGGAGAGAGAGAAGAAAAGTGAGAAAGCAAGCTGCTAGTTTCAGGACTCAAACCATGGTTGGTCCTATGGGAGCCCAGTGCCTTAACCACCAAGTCGCCTGCTGGTCCAGATTTTTTTTTTTTAATGTTACACAAATCCTGTCTTCCTGGAAAAATCTCTATAGGTTTATGATATTCTGGCTAATATTTTGTGAGAAATTTTTGCATCTATGTTCATGAAAGACATTGATCTGTAAATTTTTTTCTTCTTTTTTTGCTGCTTTTTTTTTTTTTTGGAGAGATTTTCGCTATAGGGCGCGTGCGCTCGCCAGACAGACAGAGAGAGACATAGAGACAGAAAGCGAGAAATCACCCCCCAGGGGGGATGGTCACGCCGCAATCCCTTCTCCTCCATTCTCCTCTCGGGATCTTGGGCACGCACGCACACGAGCCCGGCGTGAGTTTTAAGCCACCGGGTCCGGGACATGAACCGCGGTTGACTACGTGGGAATCCAGCGACATAGCCATTACGCTAACTGCTGGTTCCCTGTAATTTTTTTTCTTAAGTAATGGCTTTGTCTAGGTTTGGTATTAAATTTATACCAGACTTATAAAAAGAAGTTGGGAAGTATTACCTTATCCTGAATTTTCTCAAAGATTTTGTATTTGACTGTTATTACTCAGTGAAAACCACGAAATGATCTAGACCTGAAGATTTTTTGGCATGAAGGTTTTTCATAATGAATTTCTTTAATAGGCATAGGACTAGTCATATTTTCTATACAATCTTGGGTTGACTTAGTAATTCATATTTATAAGGAATTTGTCTAGTTAAGATGTTGAATTGGTTTGTATAAAATTGTACTAAATGCTCTTATTATCTTTGTACCTTCTGTAAGATCATTCGTGATTACCATCTTTCATTTCTGATATTACTTATCTCTGTTTTGTCTCCCGCCTTCACCTTCCCCCTCCTCCATCAATCTATTTTTTCAAAGAACTGGCATTTGGTTTTCAGAGGTTTTATTATTATTTGCCTTCTATTTCATTTATTGTTTTTGTTCTTCTTTCTATTATTTCCTTCTTTAGTTGTTTCAAGTTTAGTTTTCTTTATCGCTCTTCTTTTTAGTTTTTTTTTTTAAGTTTACTTATCTACCTCTTCCATGAGAGACAGAGACAGGCACCCCGACATGGTCCCCTTGCCACCCCCAGCTCCAGTCATCCTGGCTCACAGGTTGGTGCACGTGTGCCCAATGTCCACAGGGAGCTTCTGAGATGTGAACACAGGCTCTTCTCACATGGGTCCAGCTGCACTGCTGCCATGCCACTCTCTGGCCCAGAAATGTCTTCTTACCCAGCAGGTGACCTGATGTCTTAGACAGGAACTGTAAGACATCTCCCATATCCCAGAAGGGCCACTGAATCAGCCCAACTTGGCTAACACGAATCCCTCAGATGACTCCCGGACATCTGAAAGATGGCACTTCTGGTATTCACAGCAAAGGCTTTGCTCCTGGGAGTGACCCAGAGGGGTGTCCATGATCGGAGGTGTGAGTGAGGGAGACACAATGACAACACGAGCTGGTCTCTTGTCGCAATCTTCCTTCCCACCCTCCCCACCTGAGCTGCTGCAGGTTGTCCAGAATGTTCCAGAAATCCTCTCCTTCATCTTCATGTTCCCCTCCTTCCTTCCTGCACAACCTTCTTCAAGGGAGCAGTCCAAGTGTTGGGGAGACAGAAAAGGAAGGGGGAAGGGCAATCCTGTCCTGTCTCCATGCCTGGTTTCACTAGGAATTGAGGGACACTGTGGTGTCCCTGTTCCTTGGAGTCACAGCTATGATCTACGGTGTGACTAAGGCAAGATGCCGTGCATTCAGGCTGGGAGGATTAGGGATGAGCACAAGTCTACACTGGGGTCTGAAATGCCACTCAGGAGACACTAGACCATCTGGCTATTTTTGGTTTCAGAGATGGCCTCTGTGGTGGCCATGACTGGCCTGACCAACACACTCAGCAGGCGCAGTGGGCCTTCCCACGTGGCCCCTGGGCCGTGAGCACCGGCGTGGAGTCCAGGGGCGGCCCATCCAGGGTGCTCTCTCCATACAGGTGCAGGCTGTTGCGGGTGATCAGCTCCTTGGCCATGAACACGAAGACTTCGTCGATGTTCCTGGACTCCTTGGCAGACGTCTCCACCACAGCAAGGAGGCCGTGCTTCTCGGCCAGCATGCAGGCATCCTCCAACAGGATGGGCCGCTTCTCCCACAGGTCGCACTTGTTTCCCATCAGCATAATGACCAAGTTAGCCGCGCTATATTTTTCTATCTCGTGAATCCAATGAGGGACCGACTCAAACGTGAACCGCCGGGCCAGGTCGTAGGCTATGATGGCTGCGTGGGCGCTGCGGTAGTAGCTCTGGGTGATGGTGCTGAAGCGCTCCTGGCTGGCGGTGTCCCACACCTGCATCTTGACTCTCTTGCCATTGATCTCAAGGGAGCACACAGTGAGGTCTACCCCGATGGTATTCTGCTGCGCCTCGGTATAGACCTTGGACTTGAAATGCTGCACCACACATGTCTCCCCCATGTTGGAATCACCGATGAGGATAATATTGAACAAATAATCGAAGTTCTCATCTGCCACCCTGGCTGAGCTGGAGAGTTGCATAGCTCTTCCCACCTAGAACAGAACTTCCTGGTTCACCTGTTGCTTGACCGTCTGGTCCCTCGCCTCTGCCAGCCAGCAGGTATCTTTTTATCGCTCTTCTTGAAATGGTCATTGATCTTATATCTTTGTTATTTTCTAATATTAGCATCCAAAACAGTACACTTATCTCTTAGCACTGTGTTAACTGCATTTTATTCGTTTTGGTATGTTATGTGTTCAGTAACATACAGTACATTTCCTAATATTCTTTTTATTTTTTTGTCTAATAAATGGGTTACTTGAAAATGAGCTATTTATTGCCAGATATTTGCAACTTTCCTAGATGTCCTGTTATTATTGATTTTTAACTTATTTTCATTTTGGCCAGAGGACATACTTTGTAAGATTTTTAAAAATTTAGTTATTTATTATTGCCAGAAATTGTTTACATTCACCAAAGGGAATAGGAGAAAGGACCTCCCTTCCCTGCTATGGAGCATGATCATGCTGCAATATTTTCCCTCTATTCTTCCTCCCTGTCAGGATTTTGGGCACAAATAGACATGAGCCTGGAGCGTTCTTCAAGTCGTCAGAGCCAACATTTGAACCATGGTTAATCTTGTGGAATCCAGCTCCCTTAATAACTGTGCTACAGGACTGGTCCTGTGTGATTTTAATTCCTTAAAATTCATGGACATTTGTTGTATGGCCATATATATGGTCTTGGTGAACATATCATATATATATCAAAGAATATGCATTTTGCAGTCATTGCATGTCACAGAGTAGGTCTATGATACTGACTTTCTACCAGAGTCTTACTAATCCCACGCAACGCAGAGTGACCTTGGCTGTCCTCGTGGCAAAGCCACAGAAACAAAACACTCACACGTGCCAGTTGCTTCTTCTAGATCTGACTGCCCTGCAAAATCTGCCAGTGTTTTCTCATGCTCTAGAGCCTTCAGGTCATTGTGCTGTGTTTTGAGGAGCCTCTGTTCATTAGGCACTTGCTTCTCCATGCTGGAGTCATAACTCTCGAATCTCCTTTTATTACATACTCCCGTGGGGTTTGTTTATTTACTCATAGTGTTGACTTTGTTCCCAGAAGTACTTAATGGAAGAACACTGTCACTTGTTAGGATTGGCTGCAAGCTAAAACTCAATAAATTGGCTTGAAGTGTCTCCTATAACCTCTGAAGTGTGTAAGAAAGGCTGCATGAAGCTGGAGCAGTTAAACTCAAATACCAGGTAATTCCATATTTATGGTTGTCGCAGCATTAAAGCTAACCAGTAACTACACTCTCGAGTCTGTGCTGCCATTGAGAGCTGTAGGCTGTCATTTTCCCCCTCCTCTACCGTGGGCCTTTTGGCCTTCCCCAGGCCAGTGTGTCTATTCTGGGACCTTCCGTCCAAGAGACCAGAACTCCAGAGAAGCTGGTAAACTCCCTTCCTTTCGTTTGTGCTCCTTTTAGTGGTGGTCAAATGGCAGGAAATCCAGACACAAGAGTCCAGGTAAGGGATACCTTGGAGATGCCTTTGTCCAGAGGAGCTCTGAATCCAGCACAGGCAGGTCTACAGGTCAACATGGTACCTTTGGAGATTGTACAGGGCTGGGGTGAAACACATCTGAGGGCACCAAAAAAAGATCAACCCTTAGAGCAGCTCACCATGAACCCAGCAACCAGGATCTCAGCCCCAACTGCCTGCCAGTCCCATCCTTTAAAGTCCCTAGAGTTTATAAAACCAGCATTCTCTCTGGATGATGCTTCTCATTATCAGAGAAATTTATCATGAACATATTCTCTGAAATGACTCTACACATTAGATGCAGGAGAAAAACCTGTCAATTTTCCACCAGATTAAATGTCAAAATATCAAATTATGTTGCTGCTAACCTGCAGAACTTAAATTAATCAGAACAAAGAATGTAATAAACAAAGGGAATTGAAAAACCAGCTTTGGCAAAGGTAACAACAACAAAATCAAAAAGCAAACCCACACGCAGCTTTCTCAGGGTCTTACAGAAAATTTCCCTGTTAGTGAGAACAGCACAGCAAGTGTTGGAGCAGGATCGCAGATGAGGAAGACTCTGGTACCCAGGTAACTGACTTACTGACGCCAAACGCTGAGAGCTGCCAGGAAAACTCTGATAATAATGCAATTGTCTGTTACCATGTTGGCTCCACACATAGACCTCTTAAGGGTCTGGGTAGTTATTTCCAGCTCACAGATGAAGGAACTGAGGTCCTTCTTCTCTTTTGAGTACATCTGGGCTCCAACTACATCTGCAAGCACAAACTTCACAGCTCAGGGCACCCTCTTAGGGAAGCCACGGCCGTTAGCAAATGCTAACCCCACCCTCTGCCAATAAGTGTGTCATCCAGAGACAAGAGGAACATAGATATTTCTGTTTACTTGGGATTTATTTATTTATTTAAGTTTTGCCATAGGGTGCATGTGCTCATCAAACAGAGATAGCGAGAGAGACGATGAGCAGGAAAGTGAGAAATAAGTGCCCAGAGGGGATGCCCATGCCACAATCCCCTCTCCTCCATTCTCCTTTTGGGGTTTTGGGCATGCACGCACACACTCCCGACATGAGGTTTCAAGCCTCCAGATCTGAGACTCAAATCATGGTCAGCCATGGTCAGAATTGGGCACCTTGGGACCAGCAGTTAGCGTAATGGCTATGTCACTGGACTCCCACGTAGTCGACCGTGGTTCGAATCTCGGACCTGGTGCTTAAACTCACGCCGGGCACATGTGCGTGCATGCCCAAGATCCCGAGAGGAGAATGGAGGAGAAGGGATTGCGGCGTGGCCATTCCCCCTGAGGGGTGATTTCTCGCTTTCTGTCTCTCTGTCTCTCTTTGTCTGTCTGGCGAGCGCACGCGCCCTATAGCAAAAACCTCTCCAAAAAAAGAAAAAAAAAAAAAAGAATTGGGCACCTTAACCACCACGCCCCCTGTTGGCCCCTTTGGTGGGATTTTGATGCTAAAATGAAGCATCAAAGAAAAATCTGTGGACTAAGGACTCTCATTTCTTTTTATGTACTAATTCAGATGTTTTGTTTTCGAGAACTCCAAACATATACAATGCAGATTGTGAACCCCATAGACCATCCCAGATTCCACACTACTCAACAAAGACCATCTTGTTTTATCAGCTCTCAACTGGATTATTTTTTAAGCAAATCGCAGATATGATATAATTTTCTCTTTAACTATCTCAGGCTGTTTCTCCAAAGAATATGGACTCTTTGTAAATATATAACCACAAGGCCATTTCCACACTTAAAACGAGTAACAATAAATCCTCCATATAATTGAATGTCCTGTAAGGATTCATATTTCTATTTGCCTCATAAATCTGATGCTGATTTCTTTTTCTTTTTCTTTGGAGAGATTTTTGCTATAGGGAGTGTGCACTCGCCCAGAAAGACAGAGAGAGACAGAGAGACAGAAAGCGAGAAATCACCCCCTAGTGGAGATAGCCATGCCGCAATCCCTTCTCCTTCATTCTCCTCTCGGGACCTTGGGCACGCACACACACGTGCCTGGTGTGAGTTTAAGCCACTGAGTCTAGTACTTGAACTGCAGTTGACTGCACGGGAGTCCAGCAACATAGCCATTATGCTAATTGCTGGTCCCTGATGTTTTCTTTTGCCTTTTTAGGGTTTGTTTGTTTGACTCAGGATTCAAAATACTTCATAGAGTACATTTGTGTTTTATGCCTCCCTAGCTGCGCAATTCCCCCTCCATCTCTGCTTTTCCATGCAATTTATTACAGTTTGTGCTGAGTTTGTGCTGTGGAGTTCTGATAGTGTCCCCAGAATGTCATGTAGCATGTCCCGCTGTCCTCTGCATCTCCATGAAAATCATAGTTGGAATAAAGCTCAATCACATTCAAGTTCTTTATTTGTGGGCCAGAAAAGATCCATCAGGACGTGTATGACATCTGTTGTCTTTTTTGTCATGTCAGCGTCAATAAATACTTCAAAACAGGAATGTTTCAGTGACTGAATGAACAAATGAATTACTTAATTGAGAGAGTTCCTGCTCTGAGATAGGTTGTCACATGCAGGGACATTTCCCTCAGCCTCTTATCTCACACAAGTACTTCTCTTTTAACTTTTTACATTGAATTAATAAAATATACGTAATAGTTTCAGAAATGGTAAACAGAATTCCTCATTTCACCCAAATTATTACCCTTTCTGATCCATGTGGAAATACGTTGCCGGCATCATTAATGCCTGCCACTTTTAAATACTTCAGTGTGGGAGCTCCTAGGTGGCATGGTGGTTAAAGTGCTGGACTTCCACATGGCCAACCATAGTTTGAGTTCTGAACTGGTGGCTTGAAAAATCATGCTGGGCGTGTGTGTGTGTGTGTGTGTGTGTGTGTGTGTGTGTGCATGTGCCCAAAATCCTGAAATGAGAATGGAGGAACAGGGATTGCAGCATGGCCAGCCCCCCTTGGGGATGATTTCTCACTTTCCCTCTCACTGTCTCTCTGTCTCTCTCTCTCTGTTGAGCATGCATGCTCTATGGCAAAAAGCTAAGAATAAATAAATAAATACTTCAGTGTGTATTTATTAAGAAAAAGACAAAAAGACGTGTAACTATTATACAACCACCAATACCAGTTCAGCATTGGTTCAGTGCTGACACTGATCCCATGGGCCCTATTCTAACTTCCCCAGTTGTCCCAGTGATTTCTCACCAAGGTCCAGGATGGAGCCCAGCATCAAGTGTGGCATTCGGTCATCACGTGGCTTCAGTCTCAGTCTGGGGTCTGAAACAGTTCCTCAGGCTCTCCTTGTCTTTCAATAACTTGTGCAGGCCAGTTGCTTTGTAGAGCGTCCTTCATTTTGTCTGGCATTTTCTTATGATGTGTGTGTCTTTGGCAGAGTAGCACAGACATCCTGCTGGTTTGTTTTTAGCATGGCGTATCAAGGGCATACACACAAGGTCGATCTGTTTCTTGGCTGGTGGTAAGCCTCTGATCACCTGGTTAAAAG